ATCCCATGGACAGTGGAGCCTGGTGGGCTACAGTTCAAATCTCTGATCAGAAATACAAAACAAGTAATAAAACCGATCAAAGGTACATGAAACTTGAATCACTTCCTTCTTCTCTGGGTGTAGAATTAAGAATCAGTGCAAATAAAATGGAAATAAAGGCTATATGGAAAGCCCATATATTTTCAAGTCAATCCTCTTTAATGGAGAATGGTCATAACTCTCAATCTAAATAAGCATTTTTTTTCTTGACTTATAATTATGGAATATTTGAGCTGGAAATGACCTTGGAGATCATATACTTAAACTTCTTCTCTGTTCACAGGAGGGAATTCCTTTAGCACTAGGGAAAATGAGCTCTCCTGAAGTGATTACTTACTTAATAAAAGAATCCAACTCCTGTTCTTGCCCTATCTAAAACTATTTCTCTTATGCCACACTGCCACAGTCCAGTAGGAAAAAGGAAAGATAATAAGCAGCCTTTTGAGAGAGGTAAAACCTTAGGCATTTTTGAGTAATAAACCTCTCCTTAACGTTCATAAGAAAGGCAAGGTCAGAATCAAAAATTTTATAGCCATTAAAAGTCAGCAATGAAGTATATTTGGGAAGCTTGATGTGCTGCAGCTCACGGGGTCGCAAAATGTCAGACACGACTGAGTGACTGAACAACAATGAAGTATATGTACAAGGAGTTCATGACTGAGGTAGGATGTGAAGGAAAGTTTGTAGTACAAATTTGCCTAGTATTGTGAACCTCTGAGAGTTCCTTACTTTCATAAGCATCAGATTCATTTATTCAATTTTATAAATAAATAGCAGCATAATTTTTAAAAGGGAAGATTTCATTTCTCTCTTAACTGTATACTTATACTATAGTTTTTCACTTATTTTTTCAAATATCACTAGGAAAAAAGGTATCACTCTTTTCTCATTTTTTAAACCCTAAGTATCAGTTGTGTCAGATGCATCAGGAACTATAACTACGTGAAGAAACTGAGTATGCAAAGATGAAAAACACAATGCCGTGTCTTAAAGATGAGACTGCTGCTGCTGCTGCTAAGTCGCTTCAGTCGTGTCTGACTCTGTGCAACCCCATAGTGGAGGGAAAATGGCTTGCTGTGTATTAGAAGAAGGCGCTGTCCTGGGTGGCTAAAACACAGGAATAAAGGAGGAAATTAAGGAGACAAGGAGGCATGCTATGGAGGAGTCAGTGTTGGAAAAGATGTAGAACCCTGAAGCCTTGTGTGTTTATCAACCTTTTGAGAGAGGCAAGGACTTTAAAAAAAAAACAACAAGCTAAGAGGCCTGGAAGTTGCCAGTTTCTCTCAGTAGGAAGAATCTTCTGAAGACCTCTTGAAGGGAGATAACTGCTAATGCTTAAGCTTTAACTTAATGAAGAAACTAACCTGTAAAGGAACTAAAAAAAAACAAACTGGGAAATTCCTCATGATGTGAGAGTTCTCTTAGTCCATATCCTCTACTTCAACCCCTTCTGGTGTCACAGTGTATTAACTATTTGTAGGCAGTATACCAAAGATTGGATAATACAATTTAATAAAAAGTGGCAATGAAGTGCACCTAACACGAAGATGAAAATAAGATTTCAATAGGTATAAAGTAAAACATGCAAGACAATAAACATATTCAACACAATATACCTTTTAATCAATAAGAACTACAACTAATAAAAATTATTTGGTATTATTTCAAAAACTCTCTTGATAAACATGAGCCTAACGCTTTGATCAATAATTGCTATTATAGTTTTGCATTCTGACCTAGTTTGGTTTTTATATTATATCTAGCTGTTCCTATATAAAGTTATATTTATTGTTGCCCCTAGATAATTCTGTAAATAAGATGGAAGTCTCAAAGGTTTTAATTATCTCAGTTAAATAGGAGTTACTAGTTTTTCTAACACTAATACTTGAATTCTAATTATCTTCCCAAATAGGGCTTTGGATTTTTTCATTTGAATTCACTGTTCTAGGTTATGGTCGGGAAATTGTCCCTTTATGAGGCTATGTGTTGGGGTTTAGTATTTACGCAAACAAATACAAAATGATTTAGGAAGCAGCTAGGTAATAAGCTGGTTTAGCTAAATTCTTCTGAAACCTAATAGACATCTTCAAAATAAACTAAGAAAATAAAATTTCTCATTATCATTTCTTTCCTCAAATTCACAGGATGATCATTTTGCTATATGCCCTACAGTGCTTAAATGATAATAGAAAGTCTCTTACCACAAATTTGAGGATTACTGAAAACTAAAATCCATAGATTTCTCATTATTATTCCTTTCCTCAAATTTCCAGAATGTTCATGTTATTAAATGCCCAAGAGCTTTGAAATGATTATAGGAAGTATCTAATTACTAATCTTAAGGATTACTTAAATCACATCTACCATTAACATTTACAAGAAAACTCAGGAGAGCTCTTCTAGTATACCATTTCAGCTAACTAGGTAGAATATTAAAAAAAACACACAACCCTTAAATCTACTGGTATATGTCCTCACAGATATACAATAACTATGGTAAATAAAATTCACCATATGTTGTTCTTTGAGTAGAGATGGTCAGTGGACTATCTGTGACATACACAAATTTCCCAGTTTAAGTAGTTGAGAAGCACATGAAAGAAATAGTAATGTCGTATGCTGGAGAGGAAAAGCATAACTTTTTACAACTTTCAGAATATAACCTACATGAGAGCAAAGCAAAATGTCAAAAGGAGCAAACAAAAGCCCATAAGGAGAAACACAGTGTGAGTTGGGACACGTCCTTTGAGGCCAAGTAACCCTAAAACACACCAAGTTTCCTTTGAATCCCTGCAGCTCCTTCTCTTTAATCAAGGGTGGAGTCTGATTTTTACCATCTCAGCAAATTCATGGTAGGGACACAGCACATGGTCCAGATGCCAATGGGTGAGATGAAACCCATGACATACCTAGCCCAAGATGAAAAGGAAACAGTGACATGCAGCCTTCCCTTCTGTCAGGATTGTGATGGTGTAGCTTGGTCTGGTCTGAAATCTCAGTCTCAGAATTTGTTTAATTTAAATCCACAACATGTATAGGTCCTCTTATGACAATAGCGAAAACTCTAAAATATCTTAATTTGTCTACATTAATCCAAATCTCTTAATGTTTCTTCCAAGCTGCAGTCTACTGTCACCAACTTAGCATAATTCTCCTCTCAGGACTCAGACCTCAGATTTAAAGTGTCTCCCAAGAGTGAAAACCTGAATCAAGCTGTGACTGCCAGCAATCCCCCTTTCACTAGGTACCAGGGCTCAGTGGAGGGAACCCTTCCTCACCTCTCATTTCTGACACTGAGGGTAGAAATGAAACATTATTTTTCTAGTTATCGAAAAACTACTCAGAAAAAGGTTGTGCTCATTCAAAGCTGCAGAAGAAATCATGACTTGGATATTTGAAACATTCTGAAACACTGCTTGAGTCATAAATTACATTTCATTTTCATTATGCACAAAATATTTTTTTTGCTCCCCAAAGGCAAAATCAACAGAAAAATGTGTTTTGGGGACTACTTTACTTCTATGCTGACTGAATACCTTATAATGCAATATAACACTTCATTAGTCATTTTGTAGTGAATAAAGTTCTTAAAGTAGAGAATAAGGTAGACATAATACAGGAAAATGAAAAAAAATCTGTATTTCAAGCTGTTCCTTTTATTTTTGCTTTGCGATTACAATATAGACATTTTGTCAAATATCCTCAGGCTCCTTAGTTTGACAAATGGTATTTTACTCTCTATTCTCTAGGACATTTTTACCTTTTCTATTGTTCTAGAATATATCATTTATAAAGGAGAATTCTAATAGAAAAAAATGTGTCACACAAAACAAATAACAAAGCCACCAATTCCAAACTAGTTTAGACAGTAAGGCTTCCTGACAACCTGTCAACATCATTATCATTGATGGTTTTGTTACAAACCTAAGGGAGTGTTTTGTGGTAAATCTAAAGATGACATGTTCAGTTCAACTACCTGTTTCTTCACCTTGCCTCTGGTCTACCTCCTCCTTCCCCAAGAAAAACCAAGGCAATTAAGCAAGGTTGTAGTTCTAATTATCAAATAGCTATTAAATGAAATGACAGTTTTTTCAGTGAAGATTTGATGTAATAAGCATATAAAGAAGTCCCACGTTAAGCAAGCTTTCTACTAAAAGTGGATCATGTAACAACAATGAAAAAAAATGCAGAAATTAAACAAACGGCTTACAATGAATCAAAATGCACATTTTACCTTCTCAGTCCATCAGGGCAGGGCACTCACAGTACCTACCATTCACTGGAAAATGTCCAAACTAAGGGCCCTGGATAGGACTGTAAACTCCACAGCAAGTCATCACTGCCAAGAACCACTATGTCACACCAGAGAAAAAAACCTGAAAAAGCCTCTTTGTAGAGTTCCCAGAAAAGTTTGACTTTTCTGGAATTTCAAATAAATATTATTAATTTAAAGAAATAACTTTCACTGTCAGAAGAGAGTGATAAATGAAACTAAGAAAAAAAATACACTGAGCTTGGAAATGTCCTCATGAAAATAACAATTTCCAGGTTAACACCACACACTTCCATTTTGGTGGTATTCTTGACTTATCTGAATCCTTAACTTCAAAGCTTCTTTTATTTTGTATTACCCACATCTGGCTAAAGAGAAAATTCATTGTTTAAGAGTTCTCTTTAATCCTTTTGTCTTTATCTGGTCTGCAACAGCTTTAGAATGAGCCCATCAGAGTAGCTTTAATACTTTGTAATGGATAACCTGTTGTGACATCACCTGGAATGACTTGACTTATACTAACTAATTTATCTACATTTCTGCATCACAGAGGTCAATTTTTTCCTTTCCTATTGATCAGTAATTCATTTTATTCAACCAGCATTCAGAGTTTATACTAAAGTATGCATTCATTTATTCTACGTTAGCTCTTTGGCTTATTATAGACTTCATGGAAAGATCAACTTACCACACCATCTCTTGGACCTGCCGCTCCCAACAGGCATTTCATAGCCTTCGGGGTTGTGTAGTATTTAATCTCTGCTGTGGCCTTAATGATTCCATCACAGTAGACATCAACACTGACAGAGCCAGCAGGAAAATCTGATAAAACACAAATAAGAGGAGCTGAGTATATAAATGCATGTACCATATTATTACATCTCTTAGAGAATATGAAGTCAGGTTTTAAGAATTCATAACAATTTTACTAACTTTTAACATGTAATTCTTTTCTTTTTTTATCCTTAGCAGTTAGAAATCACAAAACAAAACATATATTTTTGCACTTAATTATTTAAAAAAACTTAACAGATTAAAAATATACATTAAAATTACAATAAAAGCAAAGCAATAAATCTTTTCTCCTTACCCCGTAACCTTTTTGGAGTAATCTATAATCATTTCTATATAATATTTCAGAATTTAGAACAGTAAAGTTATTCATTAAAAGTTAGGCAGTTGTTGCTAATCTGAGAAAGAAAGTTCCCATTAATTTTCAGGAGGTTCTTAAAATTGTTTGGCAAAAGAAAGAGTAGAGTTGATCGAAATTGCAAAAACATTTATTCAATTGATTACAATGAAAAACCCTCAGGAAGGCAAGGTTTAGTACCCTGTTATTTAAGTGCCATTTATACTAACCATTCAGCCTTTTTGTGAACAAGCTGTTCAGAGTGACTGACTGATACACTGCATTGTAAATTCTGCTGTAACACATCAACAAATATACAGTTACCTAAGACTGCTGTGCCCTCCATGAAAGGATAACACCAAATAATCACTTCAGTGGAAAGCTGTGTTTTATTGTAACAAAAGTAAACAAAATTTAGCTCTTTAAACTCGTTCACAGAGCACGCTTCAAAAACTTTCACTCTTTGTCACAGAGATATTTCCCAGATTCTCCCGAAAAATTGTCATCAAAACTTCTGCGGTTTGGGATAAGCCGTTAAGTACAAGCCATCTGATGAAACCATCTGATGAAATGTTAAATATTTTAAAGTTCTAAAGGTTTAAGCATTAGTTTTACTTTATCTCCTGAAGAGGTTAAAGGACCTCTCACAATATTGCTTAGGGAAATCTGAAGCCAAAATAACAGTCTTAGATTTAACTAGATCAAGAAGCTGAAGTTCCTCTTCTCATATTGCTTGACCAGACACTTAACCTGAATTATATAAAAAAAAAAAAAAAGTAGAAAAGTTCTCCCAATATTCATCCAATAGAGAATGTAACAGAAATCTCAAAGAACTGGAAGTAGTAAAGTATACCTCATCAGCTACAGCTGTGTGTATATATAGTTAAGGGGTTCTGGAGTTACTGGAGTGAAATGAAATCAATTTCAGTAGATTTCATAAAGACGATTTTGAAAGCAACTATTGGTTTTGTTTATCAGAAAACAAATCAGGAGTTTTATGATGGGATGTTAACCTTCTGAAAAGTCAGATGATAAATCACAAAAGATATATGGTGAGAATATATAAGATACTTATATACTTATATAGGATACTTAAAATATTCTACTTTCTTTAGAATTTAACATGAGAATAAACATATATTCCTGATGTCTTAAGTCATTAGTTGACACAAAATTTTACCATTAGATCAACTGAAAATGATGTTGATTTTATAGAAATCCTCCAAAGAGATGCCATTTGAAGTACTGCTTTTGCTGCATACACTTTCATATCTATTGAATGTCATTTATTCAGTCAAGACCTAATTATTGTTTCCATTGATATAACAGGAAGGACTCTTATGGCTTCCTCTGGTAGAAAGACCCTCCTTAGTAACATATTAATTGAATTGGCTTTCTCCTGACCAGTACTCTGTGGTCACTATATTGTCTATATTGTATAGCAATTCAGTAAAAATAAAAATTAATTAATTTAAAGACTCAACAGAAGAGAGGAAAGTGACTTCTGTTGTTTACTATCTAGACAAAGTAGGCAAGTGACATTTAACACCAGAATTACACACAAATGCAGGTCAAGATCACCAAACTAAGGAAGCAGATGAGAGTCAGTTATGAGGATGAAAAAGGATGTATCATGGAAGGAAAAGATGGAACTCCCTACCTCCATCAGACATACATACATAATAAAATATACTTACAGAGGAGCAGTGGTTAAAAATGAACTCTATTTAAATTTTAAATATCAAGTTCTAGGCCATTCAAGAATCTCTGACAACACTCCCTGTCTCCACTATTTAAGTGGTCTATTCTTCCAGGTGGGCCTCCTCGGCAGCTCAGATGGTAAAGATTCTGCCTGCAATGCGGGAGACCCAGGCTTGATCCCTGGGTTGGGAAGATCCCCTGGAGAAGGGAAAGGCTACCCATTCCAGTATTCTGGCCTGGAGAATTCCATGGATGGAGGAGACTGGCAGACTACTGTCCATGGAGTCACAAGAAGTCAGACGCTACTAAGTGACCAACACACACACGCACATCTTCCCAGGGGAGGAACAAACTAATTTATGGGAAATATAATGCAAAGGTATTTCTAAATATCAGAACTATATTCACTATTTCCATAAAATATATATATTTCACAAATTCATTAACTTACTAGCTTTTTGCTTTCTGTTTTCCTATGTTGTGTTCCTTTATTAACCAAATCTAGCACTTTACAACATAGCAAACTTTGAATCAATCCACAGAAAGCTTCTATGAGGACAGAAATAAACATAACACTTTTGATGGTAAATTATTATTCAATAAATATTGGTGGCTTCAAAGCCTCAGTCACACCTAAAAATTACTACCAATTTAATACAAGTTAAAACCATCTTCCTGAAGTATGATATTTAGAATAATTTCTTAACAGTTGTTATTTTTCTAAGTATGTTCAGCATACTTAGCACATCCTAAAGTATTTCCTTGTTTTTTAAATGAAATATGAAATTACAATTTACATTATCCAGAACCCAGCTTCTTAATTAATCATGAAATTCTCTTTGTGGATACATTTTACATTCCTTTCAGCTTTTAATTGATTATCCCCCTGCTGTGTAAAATAATTTTCTGTCTGAGATGCAGGTACCAGAGGAACACTTTCTTATTTCTGAGTTAAAATTATTTAATATTTCTCATTTAAAGCCTTCACATGTATTTTTATAAGTTTTGGCAAAAGGGGACTATAGAAGCTTCAAATTCCTGTAACACAAAATAGTACCTGTCAGAGATGACTCTGTGGACGTCATTAGAAAGGTGCGTTTTTTAGAAAGTCAAGCCACATAAGCACTTTTTCTAGAGTGGAAAGAGACCAACAGAGGGAGGCCAGCTCCTGAATTTGAAACATCAGTTTTCTTCAAAAGAACCCTGGGAGCAGAGAAGCGTCCCTGTTTATGTTTCCACTTCAGGGTTAGATTCTCCATTTTAATTTGGTATTCAAAGAAGTAGAACAAAAAAAATTTAAAACCTTAAATATGTTGAGACTAGTATTTATGGTATGAGATAAAATTGAGATCATTTCCTGCCTGCAAGTCATCAGTAGGTATAGGAAGTATACGTGAGATATTCAGAACCGGGAGTGCTTCTGAGCATGGGCCCAAGAGTGAAAGGGGACAAATTTTATATCAAGGGATGTGAACACAGGAGGAGGGAGTGGGCAATATGAGTGCAGTGTTTATAGAGAAAGATGCTTCCTCAGTTCTCTCCCAAAAGGAAGACAAAGAAGTTTTAAAGCCATTCAAGTTTACGAGATTTGCTAGAGGGAGAGACTGACACTTGTTCCTCAGCTGGATGTCTCAGCGGTGTCTCATATATTATCTCCCTTATCTCCAAACATCCTGTACATGAGTACTTAAAACACAAGTACAGAAGTTGTTTTATCAGTAAGAAAACTGAGCACAGAAGGATCAGGAGACTTGTCTAAAGTTTCCCAGTAAATGGCTCAATACAGAATAAGAACAGCTCTATTGGCCACCAGTTAAGTATTTCCTTAACTTCACTGCAGATTCTGCACAGAGAGCTAGCCTGCAAGCGCACACTGGCTACTCCCTCTTAATCTGCAGCTGGTGTAGAGAAAACGGAACTCCAGTATACAGTCAGTGCTGTCCAATCAAACTTTCCGAGATGATGGCTATGTTCCAGTGAAGCACCTGAAATATGGTTAGTAAAACTGAATTCTAAACTTTATTTAATTGTAATAAACTTTAAATAACCAGATGTGGCCAGTGGCTACCATATTGGCTGGTGCAGCTGCAAAACACAGTTTCTCCAGCTATGGTTTGTGACCCACTAGTTCATCATGACATCAATTTAGGAGGTTCTAAATAACAGTGAAAAAAAAATGAAAACAAAAAAATATGTTTCTCTCTACTTACATTACCCATATGCTCTTGCATGTTGTCTATTTTTCCATTACAGCCCTTAACATATTAATCATAGTTGTATAAAATTCCCTGTCTGATAATTCCAACATCTGTGTCACGCCTGTCTGGTCTGATGTGCGTTTTATCTCTCTGGACTGTTTTCCTTTGCTTTCTGGCATGTCTTGTAATTTCTTGTCGAAAAGTAGATATGTTGTTTGGGGTGAAAAGTGAAAGTGAAAGTTGCTCAGTCGTGTCCAACTCCTTGTGACCCCATGGACTGTAGCCCACCAGGCTTCTCTGTCCATGGGATCTCCCAGGCAAGAATACAGGAATGGGTTGCCATTTCCTTCTCCAGGGGATCTTCCCGACCCAGGGATTGAATCTGGGTCTACCATATTGCAGGCAGAGTTTTCACTGACTGAACCACCAGGGTTATTTGTTTGGGGTGTAAGAAGTAAAGTAGGTAAGGGTGTAATGAGAGTAATCTCTCTAGGAGTTGGACTGTATCTGCTGTTCGCTGTAGCTGGCGGTGCCAAAGTCTTTGACTTCCTCTCTTACCCTTGTCTTCTCTCTTGATCGTGTGCTGCTCTAAGTACTGCTCCTCAGAAAGACACTGCATCTTGCATACTTTCAACTGTAACCCACTGTCATTACACTGCTGTGGTAATCATCAAGTTGGCTGGAGGGGGGCACTTTCATCTTGGGATTCTCAGTCATTTAGTGGGCCTGTGTCTTTTGCTGTGACCTCCACTAGCGCTTCTGCCATGGCATAGCTTTCTTTTCCCCTCCTTAAATGAGACAGAAAGGCTAGAGGGGGCTCCCTTCCTCAGGCAGGATGAGACTCTGGTAAAATGTTTCCCCCTGAAAAGTAGACCTTCGTTATGGAGAACACATGGAGAGTATTTCCCCTTGATTATTCTTCCTCTGACCCAGCAGAATCTTCCAGATCTTTCTTAGATCTTCACTGTATGAATCTGATGGGATTCCTGAAGATAAATTCCACAAAATTACAGGTGCCTCATAAGACAACTCAGTGGTAAAGAATCCATTCACCTGTCAATGCAGGAGACTCAGGAGACTCAGGCTTGATCCCTGGGTTGGGAAGATCCCCTGGAGAAGGAGATGGCAACCCACTCCAGTATTTTTGCCTTGAAAATCCCGTGGACAGAGGAGCCTGGTGGGCTACGGTCCATGGGGTCACAAAGAGTCAGACACAACTGAGCACACAGCACACTTAAGATGGCAGCCTCCAGGAGTCTCTTACTTGTGAGCTAATTCACACTTAGCCTTTGGCAGTTCATGAGAATTACCATTTAGGTGTTCTTACCAGTTTATGGCTCCAGAGACTTCTGCCCCAGGTAAGCAGATCTTAGATGTCACTCTAGATTTACCTTTCTCTCCACATTTTGTAATGGTTGTTTGCCCTCCAACTTCAGTTTTCCAACGAGTTCAAGAAAAGTCACTGATTTTCAGTTTATTCAGTTTTTTCTTGTTGTAAGAATGGGAGTGCAACTTTCAAGCTCTTTACGTGTCATGGCTGAAACCATTAGTCTAAGTATTGCTTTTAAAAACCTTTGTTTTCATTATGTATTCATGCATACATACTGCATCATAATGTAAAATGTAGTTCTTGCTAGGGTTCAAAAGTTTTTAAGAAACAGTACCACGAGGCAGAGAAAATAAGACTCTGGGGCCATTTCTGCTGCGCCATGTCCCATCCATAGTCCCATACTTGTTCATGGAACTATCCTATATATTGTTACATAACAGGCAATATTTTGTGAGAAAATCTATCATTAATTTAGAGGATACACTGGTTGAAAAAAAGAGTTGGAGAGGTTTAATTAGAATAACTGGTAAATAATAGTTTATTTTTACTATAAATTAGTTGTTCAATCACATAGATAATATTATAGTCTCATATATCTTGGAAAATATGGAATAACAGTTTTCTATTTTTCTGAAAAATATCTGAAATTTGACATTTTATTCTTTCCACTGCTCTTAGCTACTAGGTAAACTGAACATAAAATCTTAATGTGAATAATTTTATTTGACATTTTGATTTGGTATTTCAGAAGTATTATCTCAGTACTTCTTAATTTGCAATACTGATTTTTCTGTAGTGATTTTAGTCTAACTAGATTTAGCTTAACTTCTAAACTAATTAGAAATTGCTGTTCATTAAATTATTTTAAAAATGTGACATAAGGAAATAACAGGCTTTGGAAGAAAAGCAAAAGAAACAGAATTCTTTCTCATTTCACTTCTGCATGTCCTTGTCCATGACAGGAAGCAGTGTCTAAGATGTTTATAAATGGTTCGCATAGAGTCTTCCCTTTCTATAATCCAACTCTGATCGAAGCTGTGTGAGGATATCCACAGAAGGGACACATACTTTATACAACATAACAGAAAAGATTTGTAAATGCTCTGTAAATGGATTTCACTAGAGTTATATTCTAAGAAGAAAACAAAAAAGCTCTGAATGCATTTGACATACTCTAATTTTTTACTACATTTCCAAATTCATAAGATTGAATATCTTTGTACTTTAAAATACTTAAATTCACATTTATAAAGTTTTATTCTAAAAAAAAAAAAGTTTTATTCTCTGATTGTAAAAGGACATCATAAATTAAAAACCAGCAAGTCCTACATTTATATCAAAACATCCAGAAATTAATATATTAGATTTTGATTTTAGTACAATTATAAAGACAAGTCTGTATATTTCACCTGGAATTTTAAATCTGATATGATTTATCATGTTGAAGCAAACTTGGATAATAAATGGTTAGGTTCATAATTTAAAAAAGGAAAAGAGAGAAGACTGTATATAGATATGGTACCAAGATGATAAAATAGTGAAAAAGAACTATGCACTATGCTTTCCAAACAAGCAAAAATATACTCAGGGGCATGGCAGAAACAAAAAAACAAAAAAAAAAAAAGAAGAAGAAGAAAATTACAAATGAAAATCCAAATGTTTGCTCATCCTGTTACAATAAAGTGAATGATTTTAATTCCCTAATTTAATAACTAACATTTAAAGTGCTCTTCGCTGACACAGTTAAAAGTACATGATATTACTGCCTGTCATTTCACCACATGGTACATAGGCTAATTTCTCATAATTTACACATTCCTGCTTTTGCAAACTCAGATTAATAATAACAGCCTTGGACATGTGAAAGCTAAACACAGGAAACACCTGCAGAACAATATTAGTTTCTGTAGAGAAGTGAAACCATTTACCAGAAATTTATTGAAAGAAACTCAGAATGATGTTTTATATTTATTAAAGCATAAAAAAATTTCTTACCTAAAGCTTTCATACTCCAGACACTTTTACTCCAGAGGGCTGGCTGTGTTCTAATGCATTTACTATTTGATGTAAATTCAACCTCCACAGCATCACTGGTTACTTCATCTCTCAAAATAATAAATATTTCACCAGGATTCTATACAATGAAAAATATAACTCAATTAGGCATTTGAAAAGTTTTCATTAACCAATCAAATACATTTATTAGTGATAAAGGTCCAACATGGTAATTAGTGTAAAGAACATGCCTGCCAGGCAGGAGACCCGGGTTTGATCTCTTGGTGGGACACATCCCTTGAAGGAGGAAATGGCAATCCACCTCAGTATTCTTGCCTGGGAAACCCCATAGACAGAGGAGCACGATGGGCTACTGTCCATGGGGTTGCAACTGTAGGACACAATTTAGGGACTAACTAAGCCATCACCACCATCGTGTCCATAGTTTCAGCCTTACTCGTAAACGAAATATGTTAAGCTGAGTCTCACAAGATTTTAAGTTTATCACCTTATGTCTATTGAATACTTATTTTTCCCCAGCACCATATTTTGCAAATGAATAGACTGAGTTCATAGCTGCTCCCTTTTCCTTTCACCTCATCCCTGTGTGAGAGGTTCTATGTGAAGGTGATGAGCATCATTTCACAGACCTGCAGGGAATGTAATTCGATTGCTAAACAAATTCTTCTTTTTCCCCAAATCCCTTTCCTTCACCTTTCTAGGACTTGGTGTATTTATCTATAAATAAGAGGATTGAACATGTTTCACTTGAAGACCTCTTATACTTTAAATATGATTAACTGGTTTAGATGTCTAATACAGTTAACCCTTGGACAACACAACTCTTAGGAGCACCTATTGGCCCTCAGTACAGTAGAAAATCCATATAAGATTGATAGTACGCCCTCTGCAACAGCAGTATCCTGATTCAACCAACTGCAGGTCATGTTGTACTGGGGTATTTGCTACTGAGAAAAATCCATGTATAAATGGACCCATGCAATTCAAAACCCCTATTGTTCAAGGGTCAGGTGTATTGTTAATCTTACCAATAAGAGATTCTTCCATTACTCTTTATGATGAATACAAGTGAAGGCTGTTGGGTTGACTAGAGGTTATAAATCTAAAAGTTTCAAGATTTTATTATGATGGAAAAGCTGCTGCTGCTGCTGCTGCTGCTGCTAAGTCGCTTCAGTCAAGTCCGACTCTGTGCGATCCCATAGACAGCAGCCCACCAGACTTATCCTGGGATTCTCCAGGCAAGAACACTGGAGTGGGTTGTGATTTCCTTCTCCAATGCATGAAAGTGAAAAGTGAAAGGGAAGTCGCTCAGTCATGTCCAACTCTTAGTGACCCCATGGACTGCAGCCTACCAGGCTCCTCCATCCATGGGATTTTCCAGGCAAGAGTACTGTCTGGTGGAAAAGCTAGGGAAGCCCAAATCTATGTATATAATATTCAAATTGCCAACATCTGTTGGATCATAGAAAAAGCAATAGAATTCTAGAAAAAAAATATAAATATAATTCTGCTTAATTGTCTGTATTAAAAACATTGACTGTGTGGATCACAACAAACTGGGGGGAATTCTTAAAGTGATGGGAATACCAGACTACCTTCCCCGCTTCCAGAGAAACCTGTATGCAGGTCAAGAAGAAACAGTTAGAACCGGACATGGAATGATTGGTTCAAAATTGGGAAAGGAGTATATCAAGGCTGTATATCGTTACCCTGCTGATTTATTTTATATGCAGTATACATCATGTGAAATGCTGGACTGGATGAAACATAAGCTGGAATCAAGATTTCCACGAGAAACAGCAACAATCTCAGATATGCAGATGCTACCACCCTAATGGCAGAAAGCGAAGAGGAAAATAAAAGAGGAGAGTGAAATATCTGGCTTAAAATTCAGCATTCAAAAAACTAAGATCATAGCATCCGGTCCCATCACTTCATGGCAGATAGAAGGGGAAGAAATGGAAACTGTGACAGATTTTATTTTCTTGGCCTCCAAAATCACTGCAGAGAGTGACTGCACCCATGAAATTAAAAGACGCTTGCTCCTTGGAAGAAAAGCTATGACAAACCTAGACAGGGTATTAAAACGCAGAGCCATCACTTTGCTGACAAAGGTCCATATATAGTCAAAGCTATGGTTTTCCCAATAGTCATGTATGGATGCGAGAGTTGGACCATAAAGAAAGTTGAGCGCTGAAGAATTGATGTTTATGAACTGTGCTGCTGAATAAGACTCTTGAAAGTCCCTTGGACAGCAAGGAGATCAAACCAGTCAATCCTAAAGGAAACCAACCCTGAACATTCATTGGAAGGATTGATGCTGAAGTTGAAGTGCCAATACTTTGGCCACCTGATGGGAAGAGCTGACTCATTGGAAAAGACCCTGATAAGGGAAAGATTAAGGACAGGAAGAGAAGGGGATAACAGAGGATGAGATGGTTGGATGGCATCACAGACTCAATGGATATGAGTTTGAGCAGACTCCAGGAGACAGTGACGGACAGAGAAGACTAGTGTGATGCAGTCCAGGGGGCTGCAAAGAGCTGGACGTGACTTAGTGACTGAACAACTACAAAGATATAAGGGGTTATTGAAAAACCTTTTTTAAAAAAAAAAACCCTGAAAGAAAACTAAGGATAAGAAGATTGGATTTAATACAGAGAAAAGAAAGGGATAAACATCTTTTGAGCATCTGTTTTATACTGGATTTTCCAGATGAAACAGTGGTAAAGAATCCACCTGCCAATTCAGGAGATGTAAGAGACACACTGGAATCAGGATTGCCGGGAGAAATATCAATAACCTCAGATATGCAGATGACACCACCCTTATGGCAGGAAGTGAAGAAGAACTAAAGAGCCTCTTGATGAAAGTGAAAGAGGAGAGTGAAAAAGTTGGCTTAAAGCTCAACATTCAGAAAACTAAGATCATGGCATCTGGTCTCATCTCATGGGAAATAGATGGGGAGACAGTGGAAACAGTGTCAGACTTTATTTTTTTGGGCTCCAAAATCACTGCAGATGGTGATTGCAGCCATGAAATTAAAAGACACTTACTCCTTAGAAGGAAAGTTATGACCAACTTAGATAGCATATTAAAAAGCAGAGACATTACTCTGCCAACAAAGGTCCGTCTAGTCAAGACTATGGTTTTTCCAGTGGTCATGTATGGATGTGAGAGTTGGACTGTGAAGAAAGCTGAGCACCAAAAAATTGATGCTTTTGAACTGTGGTGTTGGAGAAGACTCTTGAGAGTCCCTTGGACTGCAAGGAGATCCAACCAGTGCATCCTAAAGCAGATCAGTCCTGGGTGTTCATTGGAAGGACTGATGCTGAAGCTGAAACTCCAGTACTCTGGCCACCTCATGCGAAGAGCTGACTCGTTGGAAAAGACCCTGATGCTGGGAAAGATTGAGGGCAGTAGGAGAAGGGGACGACAGAGGATGAGATGGCTGGATGGCATCACCAACCTGATGGACATGAGTTTGAATGAACTCCGGGAGTTGGTGATGGACAGGGAGGCCTGACGTGCTGCGATTCATGGGGTTGCAAAGAGTCAGACATGACTGAGCGACTGAACTGAACTGAGCTGAAGAGACATGGGTTCAGTCCCTGGATCAGGAAGATTTCCTGGAGGAGAAAACGACACCCCACTCCAGTATCCTGCCTGGCAAATTCCAGGGACAGAGGAGCCTGGTGGGCTACAGTCCATGAAATCACAAAGAGTTAGACATGACAGAGTGACTTGAGTATGCATTCATGTATTTCATACTAGCTAATCACTTTTTATATAAAACCATTTCCTTTAATCCTAACCAAAACACACACACACACACACACACACACACACACACACCTCAAAAACCAATATGGAAGGCTATTATATTTCTCTTTTATGCAGAGAGTAATGAATACAAAGATTTACATTCTGAAAATCAATCAGAATTATCTAAATTCAAACTCTGTACTATTGTTTACATGATACTGTTCCAACATTCAAAATAACTAAAATGAAATATTTTATGGTTATCTCAGATATCACCTTTCAAAGGCTTTCTTCAAAGTCAAACTGAATTTCAGTCTTTCACAAAGTAAACAGGAATCCCATTTATATGCTCTTATAAAACTGTGTTTACCCAAAAGTCATTAATTTCAAAGTTTTCTTATTTAAATATTATTTCCCTAAGCATAAATCACCCACCAATAAAACTTACATTTTTAATGCTCTGTACCATGGGGTTTTTACAAATATGTTGATGTTAAAAAAAATCATTTCAGCTGACACACATCCAGCTCTGGCATTTTTCCAGCAGAGTCTAGTGCTCCTAAGTATTTGTCCACAGGATATTCTGAACTAAATTTCTCTATATCAATTAAATTGCACTTTGAGAAAAGATCCCATGCCACCTACTGCTCTGGCTTCACACATCCGACCTATGGGAAGTGCTTCTGTTTCTTGGCCTATGCCTCCTCATGCACTACTTCATCTGAGTCTGAGGTCAGTAACTGGAGCTCCTTCCAGGCCGCACTCCTGCCATCTCCTCTTTGGAGACCACACTTCCAAGGCAGTTCCTTAGTCCCTCACTTGCTCACATCTGTCTGTCTCCTTACTTTGCAGCTTTAATGACTTCCCATTTTCACTCTGGCTCAAATCCAGCTTCAAAGTTCTTTGGCGTTTTCTTCTATGAGTACATCCCTTCCTGTAAAACTTGGACCTCTCGCCTTCCAAACAGTAAACCCGAGCATCCTCTCCTGGTGTTTATTCAGCCAGCAACTCATTTTCATTCATGGGTGCTCACATGCCATGCAGCGCTAAGTTGCTGTAGTCATGTCCGACTCTGCGCCTCTATGGACTGTAGCCTGCCAGGCTCCTCTGTCCATGCAGTTCTCCAGCAAGAATACTGGAGTGGGCTTCTATTTCCTCCTCCAGGGGATCTTCCCAACCCAGAGATTGAACCCATGTCTCTTAAGTCTCCTCCTGCATTGGCAGGCAGATTCTTTACCACTGGTGCCATGCGGGAAGCCGGGTGCTTCCATGGGCTGATTCTTATGCACCAGATTCTCTTCCACCTTTCAACCATCTCCAGAGAAGAGGTCTAAACAAAAGATAAGCACACTG